TGCTTATTTCTACAAATAGTTAGTCTACTACTTCTTTATCTTAATACTATACCTGTTGTGGTAAGGTGATAGCCTGGGTAAGGATAGAAGAATAAAAGAAAAGATAATAAGATAAAACTGGTTCTTTATTTGATATGTTAGAAGGTTATATATTGGGGGCAGGGGAATTATTGCCAAAGAAAAGAGGCACCAAAATAAAGATTTGTCATAGAAAGGCAGTGGAGAAATGGCATTGGAAAGTGCCTGGGCAAGAAAACAACTGGTTTTGTGTGCCTTGCCAAATGGAGGAAAGTGGCTCTAAATGCTTCAATTCTATTATTAGCTGCGGAAGTAAAGACTGAGCTCTGTGTAATAAGCCCTTGATTCAAATAGCGCTTTTTAGGCACAATTAAAAAAGTTTACAGGTACAGAATAGAAAACCCAGCATAAAGAGTGAGCAATCAGACAATTGTTCTATTGCCCTTAACATAAACAAACTATGTTTTGGCTGATCCATTCAATAATGCAACAACAATCATTTTCCAGATGATGGCAAAGAGACCCCCATACTGAAAGAGCACAAAGGCTTCATCCTTAATTTTTGACACTATCATAAAAATATGCCCTCAATGTAAACGCCCCAAACTGATAAAAGACTGGAAAAAGGAAGGTATGGATGTATCTATCACACTATGAGATCTTGTTGAGATAATGAAGTCTAAGCTTGTAAATGCCACACACCATGCAACAAATTGGAGAGTGATTAACAGAGCATATAGATATATAAGCACTGTGGTCCATAATACCCATACAGAGGATGTAAACTATGTGGGGCCAGTACAACTGAAGTCACCCATCACTATTACACTTCCTCAAAGTCCAAGGTGATCTGGAAAGAGATATACTCTAACCTGGAAATAAGAAGCCTAAAGTAGACCCATCACAGCCAATATATATTTTTTCTTCAAATCACTCCAGAAAATCCCAATTCATCTTAAAGCATCCATGTTTCACTCTGCCATCTGGCAGATATATCTAACAAGGAAAGAAAATTTTACCCTAAACCAAACTGAAACACCCCAACTCTTCTGCCTAGGATTTAAAGCAAATGTCAATAAAACTCTTAAGAGGATCTTCAAATATGACAAGAATATCCCAGAAGGGAAAAGTCAGGTAGAAAATATTGTCAAATAGTATGCTCTTTCACAACTTCTCTACAGTTTACTGACACTACACTGGCCATTGGCTCCTAATCCTGATCAGGGATGAGCTGTTTTTTCAACAGACACTCCCAGAAGATACTCTCATCCCCAACAAAGAAAAAATTTGGGTTTAAAAAAGCCACACATTATTATTTAAGTTTAGTTAAGGATATTCTCAAATTTTTGCAAACAGTTGGAGTATAATTTTTAGCCAACTAAAACAAAAAGGTATAATGAAATGTCCCAAAAATTAAAAGATGCTCACTACAGGAGTCAAACCTGTGACTTTGGCGTTATTAGCACCACACTCTAACCAATTTTTTTATATCAAGGCTTTTTATTTCAACTTGATTGAGCACCACACTCTAACCAACTGAGTTAAGCAAGCCTTTTTTTAAGGGAACACAGGTTTATTAGGGTTCAGAGACAGCGTTTAAAAGGAAATGTGGCCATGGGGGGAGGGAAGTGAGGGATACCAGGGGAAGGGGTAGCTGTCTGCAGGCCCTCTGTGTGCCTGTCTTTCCATTGTATTACTCCCTCAACTATGAGGTGGGATGAGTCAACAATGATGTCCATAAGTTTCCTGTTACCAGGAATCATGTGGCCAAATTTGTCTGTACGGATCATAGTATTGTCCATTAGGGAGCAGAATTTCTCCTTCATGAGTGACACCAGGTTAGGTCCATTGTCAAAGATTACATCTATACAGATAGTGTGAATGGTCCACAGTGCAACATGATAAGCAACTGCTCAAACTACTGGAGGTTCCTGCTTGAGACTCCTCATGAAGAAGATGTCAAACTTTGGTTGAAAATGGACAGAGAGGTTCAGCATGTGGGCAACTTCTGTCCAGAACCGCAACACAACTATACAATCAAAGAATTTGTGCTCCATATTGGCATCTTTGAATGGGCAAAGCCCACACTGGCAAATTGGGTGGTCCACTGGGAATGTTGACTCACTCCAGAAGGCCTCGTTGAACAGTCTCCAGGTCAGAGTCTGTGCACCTGTTGTCACCATTGGTACCCGCGTCAGAGTAGCCATTTCTTTGGGGGTGATTGTGACTAATCTGCCGGCTTCTACCCACTTGCAAACCATCTTGGGGTATTCTGGCTTGGGCTTTGGGTCTTGGATGACCTTCTTCCCACACTTGGACACCACCGTCTTCCGGCGTGTGACAATGCTCTTCATATCCAGATTGTAATTGATCTGTCTATTTCTGCCTGCCAGATGCAATCCCTTGAGGTCCCAATTCTGTGGACCAGCAGGATCAAGATTCTTAGAGATTTCCCGTTCATTGGCTTGCATTACTGCCAAGCAGCGGCGCCAGTACTCCGGAGTGTCTTTGGAGGGTGTGAATCTCTTTCTCTTCAAGAACCATTGTCTTAGACCAAATGTCAAAGGGTTGGGTATCTGGATAGCCCGCGCCCAGTTAACTGCTCTGCCTGCTGCTGGTGAGTCAGTATGGGCTGCTAGTAGTTCCCTTAGTCCTTTTTCCCACATCCTTCTGCAATGCTGGACATGATCTATTAGACCCAGTCCTCCTGCTGACCTGGGGAGAGAGACCATTGACATTTTTACAGGGGACATATTGGGTGTACCCCACAAGAAGTTGCGGGTCATGGCTGACACCTTCTTCTCAAAGGCTTTGGAGAAGGATAAAATGTGTGCTACATACCACATCTTGGAGAACACAAAAATGTTGAGGGCAGTAACCAGTCCAATTACATTGAACCAGAAATGACGCCACTTGTTGATCTTGTTTGCAATAGCCTTGAGAAGAATATGTTCATTGGTCTGCAGATCAATATCCATAGAGTTGAACCACACTCCCAAGTGTCTAAAGGCTTCACAGGCTGGGATAGGCGTGAGGCCATGCAGTGGAGCAAAGTTTGGCACACCTATTTTAACCAGTGTTGTCTTCTCAATGTTAACCTTTTCATTGGATGCCCTCTGGTAGAGCTCCAGAAGGGTTGTCAGCTTTTGTGAGTCCTCCTTTGTGGTCAGGCCCACAATGGTGTCATCTGCAAAGGCAGCCATACAGAGCGCCTTCTGACTAGGATGAGTGAAGCCTCTCAGCCTAGTGTTTCCAGCTGCCAAGAAAAAATTTGCTGCAAAATTGAACAGTATGGGAGACAGAGGATCCCCTTGTCTCAATCCCTGACAAATTTCAATGTTCTCAGTCAGGTTACCATTGACAATAACGCACGCCTGAAGGTTCAGGTACAGTGTCTTTATCCAACAGATCCATTCCTCCGGCAGGTTTACAGCCCACATGCTAGCATAGAGATATGACCACAACACACAATCATACACCTTCTCCATGCCCAGAAATAGCAGGTAGCCCTTATTTGATTTAACCCTATTCTGAAGGGTATTTTGAACCATGTGAATATTATCCCAGATAGAACGGCCCCAAACAAAGCCAAACTGCATTGGGTGTAGGATCACATCTGCAATCTTCATGATTCTGTTAGACAGAATCTGGGTCAGCAGTTTGTAATCTGCATTGGACAAAAAAATTGGTTTTCAGTTCTTAACATTGCTCCTATGACCCTTGTTCTTGAAGAGGAGGCAAATTGACACCTCATTCCCCTCAGGAAATTGGGTGGCTGAGGAAAGTACATAGTTGAAGAGTCTAGTCAGATGGGGTGCTAGCAGATTTCTAATAGGCTCATACATATCTGCTGGAATACAGTCTGGATCTGGTGTTTTTCCATTTGGGGACTCTTTAATGGCTGCAAGAGTCTCCTCCAGTGTGATGTCTGCTGTCAGAGGCCCACACATTGCCGGGGGACTTTGTGTAAGCTCTGGACCAGCCTCTGTCATTAGTGAAGAGAGGGCATCCTTATCCACATCTGCATGAGCATACAGACTGGAGTAAAACTCCTGTATATTCTGCTTAATCACAGACTTGTCTTTATATTTTAGACCACACCCTGTATCAATATAAGTGAAAGGAGATCCTCTCTGATATTGAGCAAGGATACATAGTCCGTCCTTTGTAGATGTACCAAAGCTACATTGGAATTTGTATGTCGCGTTGGTCCAACAGCGCTTCTCAATGGTCATCTGCAGCTTTTTGATCTGACAATAGAGAATGTTGAACTTCAGAATGTCCTTCTTGGCCACTTCCTTATATTCTTTCTCCAAAGCATGCAGTGTTGTGAGCTCATTGTTCCTCTGCCTCCTCCAAAAGGAGATGGTGGATGATTGAATTTCCATTTTGATGCCCAACCATGTGTCACTGGGTGATTGCACTGGGCCCATCCGGTGGGAGGTCATTGCCAGGATGGCTCTCTCAATCATCTCCTTCCACTTATGGTTACAAAATGTGGACAGCCGTATGACCCACTGTTGGGTAGCACATTGGGTGACACCAGAGTCCCAATTAATGTACACAATATGGTGGTCCAAGATTTGAGCTACCTGAACCCGGGATCCAGTAAATTCTTCTGAGATATCTCCAGAGATTAAGATGTGGTCCAGTCTGGCGCCTGACACCGGAAACCTGTCCACATAACCCCACCTTGTCAGCTGGGTGAGGTCCAGGTCCTTGTTGGCAATAGTCTCAACTACCCCTTGTGTTTCCAGAAACCCCTCCATCAGGTGCACAGAGGGATGACATTGCTGACAACATGGGTAAGTATCTCTTTGGTTATTGGTGTATGTGTTGAAGTCCCCACCGTAAAGAGTACAGTCAGGGAGGTCAAGTGACAACAGGATCTCCATCCTTCCCTACTTCCCTGGGTTCCACCAGGTTCCAGGTATACAACAACAACTGTGAGTGTCTTATCATTCCTAACATCTCTGACTTTTGTCACTAGAATTTGGCCATCTAGGTGCATAGCCACAAAGCTGATGGCAATGTTGTCTCTCAGGGCCACAATTGCTATGTGATCTGTCCAGAGTCCATTCAGTTTACTCTCTCTTGACCACGCGTGTGCTGCCGGGTCTGGTGAGAAGTCTGGTTTGGTTGCAAGTTGGTGAGCCTGGATTTCTGTCATGATCACCAGGTCAATATTATTATTTGTTTTTATATAGTGTAGTTTCTCCCGCCTCAATTTAACGTTGCAATCCCCCTCACATTGATAGTTGCAATCCTCATAACTGGTTGCCTGACCCACGGGTATGAGGCTCTGCATCAGCGGGGGGTTTGTGGTTGGGGAGGTTAGGGGATGGATCAGCCATGGTGGAGGACTCCGGGTTCTACTTGCTCTTAGCAAGGAAGGGGCCTGGGGCCATCTTAGCTGAGGCCTTAGCTTCAGCCATCTCTGCAGGACTAAAGTCCTGTTCCATGTCATCTACATCCATGGGCACAGCACAACTGGTTCCCTTGGGGGGTTTGCTGGTTGGATTAGGGTTCACAGAGGGCTTGCTAGTTGGCTTAGAGTTCACAGTGGGCTTGGGCTCACTAGGGGGGTTGGGTCTAGCAGTCTTGCCCTTCTTGGGTTTCTGGTTCCACTTAGCCTCTGAGTCCTTCTTCCACTCATCATGTGGTTTCTGGATAGGGGAGTCCTGCTGAGGGAGCTCAACCTCAGACTGGGCTGTGGGATCACAGCAGGGTACTGTGATCTCATTATCAAACCTGGATGCCACATCAGCCCAGGCTTTAGCGTGTCTCTGAGCCAGCATAGCTCTAGTGACCAGAAGTTCATGGGGATGAGAGAAACTAGGGGGTATCCACGCCACCAGATTTGGGCAAAGAAAGGTACAATTATTAATTCTTGTCACCCCATCCTCAGGTTCATATATGATGTTCTGGTAGTAAGCATTCTGTCTGTGGTGACAGTGGCTGAGTGTGTGACCTTTACCGTAGCAGAACCGGCACACCTGCTTCTCCCCTTCCACTTCAACTGCAATCACCTTGGGGTTCCCAGGGATACAAGTGAAGCGTGGAATAGAATTTTTTCCTGAACTTTGGGAGAGGGGTCCAGAAGAGCATGGATTGTAGTGGGTAAAAAATTAGATGGCAATATATCTGCGCATTCAGTGTGCCATGCCACAATGTCCCCATAGTAGCTAAGACCGGTCTTGATAGCATCTTGCACCCACGCGCTATCTTCACATTCAGTTGGCATGTTGGTGAAAGATATCCACTTGGTGCTTGTTGATGAAATAGGTCCTCTCCAGTTGGATGTTCCCACCCTTGTAACTAATGTGCTTCTTTTCCGCCTTGTCTCTAGACTTGGCATCAGGAAACCCTACATCCAAGTAGTTCTGTTTAATAGCATAGTGGAACCAAAGCTGGGCATTTGGGAACTTTCTCTCAAAGAATGTCTTGATGGCCTGCATATAACCTTCATGATCACTCTTGGGCAGTTCATGTAACAAGAGGCGGATTGCATTGTTTATTACAGACTTAGGCGTCATACAATCCATAGCAGG